CAGGTGATCCGCCTGCCTTGGCCTCCCAAAGTGCTGGGATTACAGGATTGAGCCACCGCGCCCGGCTGGCAGTTTCTCTGAAGTTGAATTCTTGCCATAAGCCAGCAGTCCCACTCCCAGGTATTCACCTAAGGGAGATAAAAACTTATGTTCACATAAACACCTGTATGCACACGTGTACAGTGGTTTTATTTATAATGGCCCCAAATGGAACATGTCCTTTAGCCGTTACACGGTTAAACCAACTGTGGCATATTCATACAGTAGAATACTACTCAATACAAAGCGAAAAACTACTGATACCCATGTCCACACAGGTAACACTCTAATGCATTATGTGAACCGAAGAATCCAGACTAAGGCTACACATTGCATGATTCCATTTATGACTTTTTTTTTTTTTGGGACAGAATCTCCCTTTGCTGCTCAGGCAGGAGTGCAGTGGTGTAATCTTGAGTCACTGCAACCTCCCCCTTCTGGGTTCAAGTGATTCTCATGCCTCAGCCTCCTGAGTAGCTGGGATTGCAGGTGTGCCACACCATGCCTGGCTAATTTTTGTATATTTAGTAGAGACAGCGTTTTGCCATATTGGACAGGCTGTTCTTGAACTCCTAGCCTCAAATGATTCACCTGCCTCGGCCTCCGAAAGCGCTGCCATTTATGTGTAAAAAGTAAAGTGGAGGTTCCTCTTCAAAGACTTTCCTTCCTGTCTAATTAGGAATAAACAGCAACTTCTCTTAGAAGCAAAACGTATTCAAAGACCTGCGCTAACGTTCTTAAGCATTTGCTAGCCGAAATAAACAAATCACTGTACTTTACGTTCTTAGCTCCCACAATGTAGCCTAAATATTTGCCCTGGCAGGCTTATATTGGTCCAAGCAAGCATTAGGTCATAGCCTGTTCCTCTTCCTTATTTAAAGGTGTTTTTACCTTTCTCAGCATTCCACAGGTTACTTCCTCCTTCCTTTGTTCTCCTCTACCTTTGCCTCTTTTAAGAAATTCTAAGTTGCTAGCCAATCGAAACAAATACAAAATGTAAGGTCCCGTTCCAGCCAATAGAAACTGGACACAGCAGTAGGGTAAATGCGTCAGGTTATAAATAACCCTGTCCCCTGTGTTCAGTATACTCTCGTGACGAAACTGGTGACAAGTGTACCCTTTCTACAAAAAATAAAAATGGCCTTACTAAATAAATTTATGTTCCAGTACTATTTCTTTATGGCACCAAAAAACAAACATTTCAAACATATGACATCCTGGAAATGACAAAACGACAGGGATAGAAAACAGATTAGTTGCTGCCAGGGGCTGGGAGTGAACGGAGGCGTGGACTCAAAGGGATGTGGGAGAGTAATGTAACTGTTTTATATCTTGATCGTGGTGGTAATTGCATGACTATATGTATCTGTCACTCCTATGGAACTGTATACTAAAAAGGGGATCTTACTGTATGCAAATTATACCAACAAACCAACACCAAACCCATTAAAGTTGTATGGTATTAGGCTAGTAGATTCTAAACCTGGTTGTATCTCAGAATCGCCCGGGAATCTTCAAAACAAAGAAATGAATCACAATTCCTAGACCCCACCACAGATTTTACCTCATTGATTCTACATTGTAAGTCCAGAAAGAGAGTGGATAAATGAAAAAAAATCCTGTTTTCAGCCGGGCGCGGTGGCTCACCTCTGTAATCCCAGCACTTTGGGAGGCCGAGGCGGGCGGATCATGAGGTCAGGAGATCGAGACCATTCTGGCTAACATGGTGAAACCCCATCTCTACTAAAAATACAAAAAATTAGCCAGTCGTGGTGGTGGGCGCCTATAGTCCCAGCGACTCGAGAGGTTGAGGCAGGAGAATCGCTTGAACCTGAGAGGCAGAGCCTGCAGTGAGCCGAGATCGCACCACTGTACTCCAGCCTGGCCAACACAGTGAGACTCAGTCTCAGAGCAAGACTCAGTCTCAAACAAAACAAAACAAAACAAAACAAAAAAAAAAAAAAAGAAAAAATCCTATTATCTCAAAGATTCTCTAATAGCTTATAAAATTGAATTGTAGAGAGAATATCTCAAGTGCTGTGTAAATATCGTTGAACTCTAGTGAAAGCAAATGGTCATTTGGTTGCCAATCTAAGTAAGTTTTTAAAGAATATTTCTAGCATTCAAATTTAAAAGTTCAATCTTTACAGTGTTGGTATCTAAAAATCAACCACTTTTTAATAAACTATTATGAAATAAGCTTTAAACATGAAGTAAAATCCATACTGAAACAGGAGTAGAATGTAAATAAACAATGTTTTTACAAATGTTCAGAGAAGTTGTGTCATGAATGCTAATCACTGCCACTGAACTCAATATCTACTGAGAGTCAGCTTTTTGTACGAAGTTCCCAAACAGTTATTTATTCTAGAGAATTATAGCAGAGGCTGCTGGGAATGTTGCCTGCCTGTACTGACCTCGGGAAAAGCCAAGGTACACAGTATGCTGTTAAAAGTCCCACCTTTCCCCCCATAATCTTTGCTTTCCTTCTTTTCAGAGGAAGGCCTCTGGATACAGAGCAAAAATAATGAGAACTAGCTGCTCCAATTCCCTAATCTGTGCTTCCCAATTCATGCACACGACAAATGGTTAGAATAAGAGATGGTCGGAAACCAGAATGACCCATTTCAAATGAAGGTCCTGTATAAATAAGTGAGGGTTTGTCAGCCCAGGGGGCTCTGAGTGCTAAGAGGCATATGGTTTAACAAGTCACCCACAGAAACAGCTGGCTGCTCCCTCTGCTGGCAAAGTCAGTCCCTATCTGGTAAATTCTGGCTCTACAAACGGAGCCATGAAAGCACACTATTAGGTCTCATTTTAAATTCAGATGGACTTAGTTTTATTTTCAGAGACAGGGTCTTACTCTGTCACCCAGGCAGGAGTGCAGTGGCGCAGTCTTGTCTCATTGCAGCCTCGACCTCCCGGGCTCAAGGAATCTTCCCTTCTCAACCTCCTGAGCAGCTGGGGCTATAGGCTTATGCCACCATGCTCAGCTGATATTTGTATTTTTTTTTTTTTTGTAGAGATGGGGTTTCGCCATGTTGCCTAGGCTGGCGTTGAACTCCTGAGCTCAAGTGATCCACCCACCTCAGCTTTCCAAATTGCTGGGATTACAGGCGTGAGCCACTGCGCCAGTCTCAGGAAGACTTACACAATTTTTCACAAGTGTTAAAGAGTGTTGCGTAAAGGGGACAGAACAAACAGTAAATATTTGATGATTAATTAAGATTTCCTGAAATTCTTTTCCCTGACAGACGTTGGGTGGGTGGTATAATTCCAAGAAGTATTTCAATCCCTAGCCTAGATGTTAGGTATTCCATTTTAAAACAAAGAGATGAATGTCTTCCAGCAAGTTAATCTTTTTGTGCCTTAGTCTGATCTGAGAAATGAGGATAATAATTATTCCTAACTTATACCTAACTCATTTAACTCAAGTGAGTTTAAGTGATTAACTCATAAGTGAGTTAATCATTTAATGTTCATTAAGAGTTAGCATGAGTTAGTTTAACACAAATTAACCAACTTAACTGAGTTAAATGATCAACTCATTTAATGTTCAGATTAAATAAATCAAGTAAATTTCTTAGACCATGTCCTGATACATGGTAGATACTCATATTAGCTATAATGATTAGTATTCTAAAAAAGGGGGAACTGAGTGAAAGAAGCGAAACACAAAGGAATACACTCTGCATTCCAAGGTTAACCTGAAAACTTTGGAACCTTCTCGGGGGAGGTAGGACATGCCTCATTATTCCCTCCTCCCTTTTGGAATTCAAGCCCAGTTAACCAGCATTTACAATAAAACAGATCTTAAGACGGACAAAGCAGACTTTGTAGCAACAAGATACCAAATTGCAGCGGGACTCTAGTATGACATCACATGACAGTAAGCCCTGAAAGTGAAGTATTTTACCCCAAATTATGTTTCTTTGCCATATCTTGAAATAGTCCTGCAAAGTTATCTCTTGTGGGGAAAATCTACATTCTGAAGAGAATCCCCTTCCTTTTCCTGATTCTGAAAATCCCCTAGGCCTTTTTCCTGATTCAGAAGAGATCAACTCTGATAAGAAATATTTACAATCTATTCTCTCAATAGCCTGCTACCTGGAGACTTCCTCTGCATAAGGGAAATCTTGGTCTCCCCAACCCCTTATCTTAAGGCACACCACCTTTTTTCAGCTTTTTTTTTGAGACAGAGTCTTGCTCTGTCCCCCAGGCTGGAGTGCAGTGGCATGATCTTGGCTCACTGCAACCTCTGCCTCTCAGGTTCGAGCGATTCTCCTGCCTCGGCCTCCCCAGTAGCTGGGGTTACAGGCTCCTGCCACCATGCCCGGCTTTTTTTTTTTTTTTTGTATTCTTAGTAGAGATGGGCTTTCGCCTGTTAGCCAGGCTGGTCTCAAACTCCTGACCTCAGGTGATTCACCGGCCTTGGCCTCCCAAAGTGCTGGGATTACAGGAGCGAGCCACCATGCTAAACCGCCTTCTATTACTTCCATCTGCAGTCTCAAGTCCTTATATAATCCAGACATTCCCTTCTGTGGATTCCAGGTCTTTAGATAAAACTTTAAACCACTGTTCATAAGAAAATCTTTGAATCTTACCTATGACCTGGAAGCCACTCCCCCTCCCCCAGTAGTCTCGCCTCTCCAGATGGAACCAATGTACCTCTAGTATGTATTGATTGACATCTTATGTCTCTAAAAGCACATGTTCTCGGGGTTTCCCAAGAGCTGTATCACAGACCATTGGTCACTCATATTTGGCTCAGTATAAATCTCTCCAAATATTTTAGCGTTTGACTCTTTTCATCACAGGTAGAAAAATTAAATATTGTTTCTTCTTTACAGAGTTTCACCCCAAGGCTCATTAGATTCCCTAACGCTTTACGTAGGTTATATTTATTCTGAAGAAGGAGCTTGACCGACTCACATTATTTACTAGCTGAAAGGCACATTTACCTGCGTTGAACTCGGGATCGTCTTCCAGGGCGACCACAGCTCCCTCCACGGCATCCACGGCGCTCCCGCCCTCCCGGAGGATGCCGTAGCCCACGGTGGCGGCTCTGACGATGCCCTTGTGCATTCGCTCCTTCCGATCCCTGGAGATCGGACCGGCTCCGCCGCCGTGGACCACTACGATGGGATTCATGTCGGCGGATCCTAGGCAGCAGGAAGGCGAAAGCGTCGTCCAAAGCCAGCCCAAGGAAGCCGCGCGGGCACAAGGTCCTCGGGAGACCCCGTTGGGATAATGCCCAGTCTCTATTATGAGAGGCCGGGTTCGCAGCTGGGGGTGCGTAGGGGCGGCTCGGTCGGGCTTGGTACGAAGAGCCCAGGGGCCCGGCGCCCTCCTGCGTTCATCTCCGCCCCGGCCCGGACCAGCTGGGGTCTCAGTTTCCCCGGGGAATTTACCCCGCGCCCACCGCCGCCCGCATCCAAGCCCCGGCGCCGAGGGAGGATGTCTATTTCGCCTTCGGGAAAATGTCTATTTTCGTTTATTTCGTTCGCCCTCCCGCGTCTCGGGAGGGCCGCCGACTTACCCAGCGCACCGCGGGAGGCGGACGCCGAGGCCTCAGGCTGGGTCGAGCCGCCCCCGCAGTAGCCCAGTACTGCCGCTCCCGGACGCCGGCTTGAAACCGCTCAGTCCGCAACCGCTCCGGCCACAACGGTTCTGCGCCTGCGCACGAGGGCGGGGCCGCCGCACCGCCCAGTTTCCGTAAAGCCCCGAAGCCCGGCCGGCACGCACCGGTCTCACTCTTATTCTGAGTCTCGGCTCTTGGCCCGCGCGAGCTTACTAGTGGCATGCGGGGACCCTCCTCCTCCTGACCAGGCCAGGGGCTGGGTGGTTGGGTTGGTGGCGAGAAGCATGAAGTGGGGTGCCACAGTTTTGTAATTGCAGATTGAAAATCTACGAGAGACTGTGCACAGTGGCTCAAGCCTTGTAATCTCAGCACTTTGAGAGGCCGAAGCGGACGGATCCCCTGAGGTCGGGAGTTGGAGACCAAAGTGACCAACATGGAGAAACCCTGTCTCTACTAAAAACACAAAATTAACCGGTCATGGTTGTGCATGCCTGTAATCCCAGTTACTCGGGAGGCTAAGGCACGCGGATCGTTTGAACCCGGGAGGCGGAGGTTGCGGTGAGCCGAGGTCACGCCATTGCACTCCAGCCTGGGCAACAAGAGTGAAACTCCGAATCAAAAGAAAAAAAAATTATACTGGGACAATGGGCATAAACAGGGACAGATCCAGGCAAACTGTGATTGATCTCCTGTGGATCGGAGAATCCCTTCCCTTTTTGTTTACCCACACTAATGACATATTTTACCACTCTTGGGAATTCCCTTTACTCCTTTTTACCTTCGTTTCCTGCCTTAAGGCCCAGTTTAAATGAACCCCTCCTGCAAAGCCTCCCCAGCATCCCACTAAGGATCGGTCATTCCCCTTCTAGTGACCTATTGTGAGAGATTACCACAAATTTATTGGCTTCAAACAACACACATTATCTTACAGTTCTGGTGATCAGAAATTCAAACCGAGTCTGCAGGGTTGAGTCCCTTGGGGAAGCTCCAGAAGAGAATTCGTCTTTTCCTGATTCTACAAGCTGCCTGTATCCTTGGCTCATGGCCTCGTCCTCCATTGCCAAAGCCAGCAGCCTAGCATCTTTAACTCTCTCTCCCTCTGGCCTCTGTTTCTGCTGCTGTGTCACTTCTCTCTCTGTCACCATAATCACGGTTTCTTCTCAGACTCTGACTGTCCTGCCTCCTTCTTCTTTTTTTTTTTTTTTTGAGACGGAGTCTCTCTCTGTTGTCCAGTCTGGAGTGCAGGGGCCGGATCTCAGCTCACTGCAAGCTCCGCCTCCCGGGTATACGCCATTCTCCTGCTTCAGACTCCCAAGTAGCTGGGACTACAGGCGCCCGCCACCTCGCCCGGCTAGTTTTTTGTATTTTTTTTAGTAGAGACGGGGTTTCACCGTGTTAGCCAGGATGTTCTCGATCTCCTGACCTTGTGATCCGCCCGTCTTGGCTTCCCAAAGTGCTGGGATTACAGGCTTGAGCCACCGCGCCCGGCCTCTGCCTCCTTCTTAAAGGAAGTCCCTTGGGATGACATTGGGCCTACCCAGATAGTCCAGGATAATCTCCCTTTCTTACAATTTGTATTCTCATCTGCAAAGTCCCTTTTGCCACGTGAGGAACGTTCACAGGTGGAGATGCGGATGTGACACCTTTGAGGGCCATTATTCTGTCTACCACACTCACCTCTTGGAAGAGGATTATTTCAGCACGTGTCTCGTTTGTGAGCCTGCTTGTGTCATCGTAACACAGCTCACCATCATTTGGGTTCAGCTATTTATAGGAACCTGAACCCTACCCTATGCCCAGCCCTAACTCAAACCCCATCGCTACTGTTTTTCCTGATGGATCTGGAATGTAAGAATCTGTCGAGGCTGGGGAAGGCGGCTGGTGGCCCAAGCGGGTAGAGTGTTGGTTTCCATTTGATTCTCCCATTTCAGCCTCATGCCTATATCTACTTCTCTGATGGGCTTCATATTCCCTGTCCCAGTGCAAAGTCTCTTAGATAAATTCTCTAGAAAATAACCTTCTGGTCTTTGAGGAGGAAGGAGGAAGCATCTTTTTGTCTGACTCTGTGGGATAGGAGAAGGAACCTGGCTAACTCCTCTGTAGACGACGTTCCAGCAACAACCATTTTATGGATTAAGGATTGTATTCAACTGTCCCTGACAAAATGTGACCACAGTGGTTTAACCAGATAATTTGAAAATAACAACAACAACAAGAAATCTAGTGGTTGCTGCCCAGGCTGATGCAGCAGCTCCAAGGTGACACAGATGTCCCATCTCCTTCTCTTTCCCTTCGGCGTGTGGCTTTCACACTTGTGGCACTGCTAGGTACTTTGATCACTATTGGGGCAGGAGGAATGTGGAAAGGCAGAGGGAAGGAGGCTTTTGCTTGCTCCCCTTTGCTCCTTTAATTCAGGAAAGCTCTTTAGCTTTCCTGGAAGTCCTCCAAGTGGACTTTCCTTGGCCAGAACTGGATTGAGGGGCTGCCTCTAGTGGCAAGAGAGTCTGGGGAGTGAGTTTTTATTTCAGCAGGGTACATCATGGCCCTGGATAAAATCAAGGTCTCTTGGCAAGAAGGAAGGGTGACAGGCTATTGGATAGACAGCTGGGAACACCTGCCACGCCTGCCTCCCCATCTTTGAGATTCCTGTGTATCTAGGCACTGAGTCTCTCAAGCATTCTCCAGAACAAATGGATTCACCTCTCGAGTAGATTATAACTTCCTTTAATCTGCCATTTGTTATTCATCTTCCAAAGTGATCTCTTTCACCTGCCATTGTCATCTCTCCCATTCTTCCGTCTTTGTGGGTAGTATTCTTTTTAAGATTGTTTAGTATCATTTTAGAGGGATTTTAAAGGGAGGGGTAACCCATTTGTGTGAGGTTAACTAGGGAGGTTGACTAGAGCCCCAAGGAGGTGCTTCTAACCACAGTGGCTCTGGATGTTCTAGGAGGAGGAGGAGGCTTGTGTTAGGGAATGCCAGAGTTGGGGAGAGGAGATGGGACCAGAAAAGGAGGACTGAGCAGGGAGGGTCTGGGTCAGAAATGAAGGAGGCATGTTAGAGAGACTGATGAAGAAGGAATGGGGGTGGGAGGGAGGGAGGAAGAGAAGACAGAAAGAAAGAAGCAAGTAACATTTCCTTCCTTTCCTTTCCTTCCTTTCCTTCCCTTTCATTCTCTCTCTCTCTCTCTCTCTGTCTCTCTCTCTCTCTCTCTCTCTCTCTCCCTCCCCTTTCTTTCTTCTTTGAGACAGAGTCTCACTCTGTTGCCCAGGCTGGAGTATAGTGGTGTGATCTTGGCTGACTATAATCTCCATCTCCCGAGGCTCAGACATGATTCTCCTGCTTCAGCCACCCGAGTATCTGGGATTACAGGCATGCACCACCACACCCAGCTAATTTTTGTATTTTTAGTAGAGACGAGATTTAAGCATCTTGGCTAGGCTGGTCTCGAACTCCTGACCTCAAGTGATTTGCCCACTTTGGCCTCCCAAAGTCCTGGGATTACAGGTGTAAGCCACTACACCTGGCCACAACTAACATTTTCTGAAGGTCCACTGGGGAACCGGCAGGCTGCCTTTACTACGTTCTTACTGCCTAGCAACTTCCCATCCCCGCCAGTCTCAGCTACATGAGGAAAAGGCTTTGGCTGACCCCACTGGGGGCAGGATGCGAATCTGCGAGGCTCTCTCCAAATTCTAGAATGTGTAAAAGTATCTTGAGCTGGCTGCCTTCCAGGGCTTTCAAACAAGAAGCGGGACACGTACCTTTCAACTCTGAGATCCCTGAATTTATTTAGGAGATCTAGTACTTATGAATTTGTTCAGGAACGGGGCGTGAGGCTGTTTTTAGGAGGCCCACATCAGCATTTTGTGCAATAGCACTTCTTTCTAACTTTCTTCTCCTCCACTCTGACCAGAGAGTTGTAATTCAGTTAGTGATATGGGATGGGGGCAGGGAAGTGCTGGGTAGAGAAGGGCATGGTCCCTGGCTAGGGCTCCACCCCAGCCTGTGCCCATGGACCTAGGTGAGGACAGGCACTCCTGCCTTCGGGCTCGAATGTTGCATTTTCCAAGACCACTCTGGCCCACCACACCCCCATCCTGTGCATATAAAAACCCCAAGACCCAGCCAGGTGTGGTGGCTGGTTTACGTCTGAAATCCCAGCACTTTGGGAGGCCGAGGCGGGTGGATCACGAGGTCAGGAGATCGAGACCATCCTGGCTAACATGGTGAAACCCTGTCTCTACTAAAAATACAAAAAATTAGCCGGGAGTGGTGGTGTGTGCCTGTAATCCCACCTATTCAGGAGGCTGAGGCAGGAGGACGCTTGAACCCCGGAGGCGGAGGTTGCAGTGAGCCGAGATCACACCAATGCACTCCAACCTGGGTGACAGAGTGAGACTCTGTCTCAAAGACAAAACAAAACAAACAAAACAAAACAAAACAAAAAAACACCTCAAGACCCTAGGGGGCAGGAACACAAGTGGCTGGACGTCCAGAGGAGCACATCGGTGGAAGAGCACACTGACAGGCACCAACAGATGCCAGCAGGCCATGGAGCGGTGGAACAATGGTGGAGTTTGCCTGGGGCAGTTAGAGGAGAGCCTGGCCACTGGGCAGCCCGGGAGGGCGGGGGGAGGGCGGGGAACAATCACCTTTCCACCCCATCCCTCTTCTGGCCTCGCCATCTACCTCGCTGAGAGCTACTCCTCAATAAAAAACCTTGCACTCATTCTCCAAGCCCATGTGTGATCCAATTCTTCTGGTACACCAAGGCAAGAACCCCGGGATACAGAAAGCCTTCTGTCCTTGTGATAAGGCAGAAGGTCTAATAGAGCTGATTAACACAAGCTGCCTGTGGATGGCAAAACTAAAAGAGCACCCTGTAACACACGCCCACTGGGGCTTCAGGAGCTGTCAGCATTCACCCGCAGGTGCTGCCGAGGGGTCGGAGCCACACAACCTGCCCATCTGCATGCTTCCCTAGAGGTTTGAGCAGTGGGGCACTGAAGAAGCGAGCCACTCCCCCTGTTGCATGCCCTGCGAGGGGGATAAGGAACTTTTCCTGTTTCATTAGGATGGGGCATGTATGGGTGCTTGAATTTGGATTCCTATAAATATTTTGATTTATATCTGGGCTGTCTCCTTTAAACTCAAAATCTATGGCTGGGCATAGTGGTCCACGCCTGTAATCCCAGCACTTTGGGAAGCGGAGGCAGGTGGATTTCC